AAAGATCAGAACTTATCATAATTCTAACACGTTATAATTTCAATGTTGCCGTCTAAAAAGAACTTGGGTGACTGTACAACAGTACAATGCCATAGGGTATATAGATCTATCTTGAAAATACCACCTGTAATGAATTTTGTATCCCCATACAGTATTTCGTGTCAGACGGAACACCATTTTGCCATGTCAAGTTCCAGCCTAATCAAATAAACGAAAAACTGACATTTTATTGATACTGACGAAGAATAATTACGTACATTTCAAAATTAACTTAATAGTTCAACTACAACTGCCGAGTTATCACTGACGTAATTTTGTAAAAAATTAATGTTTTATCCCATGTATTAGAAACAGTATGAGCGTAGTGGCAGGTGAGGAAGTAATAAAAACGTTTACAGACGACAAAATAAAAGTACACCAACCTATTTTGAATAAAATGGCGGTATTCGATGCATTTCCTGTTCACTCTACTATACCTTGCATTTGGTGTTCATAAGCAACCCATTTGGCTTATTAGTAATGATTAATTTATTTGTTTTTATTTGTCTGTTCCTTATTAATGGTTTATCGGATGATTGTTAGATGTTAATAAGGTACTTTCAAAAATATACTAAACAATACAATTAGACAAACAGAGTATGTTATGCATTTTTAGGAGTTAGGTATAGTAGAGTGTGTTGTACAAAAATACTGAGGCGTTTCCATCCCCTGGTAAAGAGGGCATCACGAAGAAGGGGGGAACCTCCCATCTGTCTTCGTTTAAAGATGACACTCTATTTTATTTGTTCATAACTGAAGCCAATCACAGCATATCAACGCCGCTTGGTAAAAATAGCTATCGATCACATCGTTGAGAAACAAAATGGACGACTCAAATTTTGTAAAGACGTTTCACCAACAAAATGTTTGTGTGTAATCCAGCAAATCATAACTGTTATTTTAAATCAAACTATTGTTTCTTTACACTTTAGATAGTTTGGGATGTTTGGGGTTTGTTTTCCTAATGACTTATACTGGTATTTTGTAACACTGTCTCTTTCCCTTGATACTTGTACAAACATACAGTATTCATATTACAGATGATAGGAGATTTGCTAGTCTAGCTACAAACCTTTGCACACGAGTTTTGAGAAGGTGTTTAGTCAAGTTGAGGGGGTCACAGACTAGAAAATTGCACGAAATACTCCTGTAAAAACATCAGAAATAAATGAAAAAACTAAAGGAAAGGGTGCACGGAAGAGGAGATTATAACCTCAACGATGAATTATGGTTCATATATATCCTCTTGAGATTACATCAGATTCCTTGACATACTCACCCACTCAGAGACATATAAAATGTCTCTGACCCACTGAAGACTGCTGCTCCCGATTTTATGGAACACAATCAGTGGCAGTGAACGATAATCATTTTGTCATTGTAATTTGGCGAGATCCTACAAAATGGATATTGACATTACTTCAAGGTTGCCCCTGAAGGTGTTTAACATTGTCTCTTGTGACTTTTCATTTCAAAAGAAATTTATCTGCTGACAGAAAACTCGTCGAGGTATATTTGTATTACCTTTCGCTTGAAAGGCTCCTATAACTCAAGGTTTGTCGTGACGCCATAAATAAGGGTCACTTATTCGCCGTCCCATCCCTCATCCTTTATACATGGATGATATCACATGTATAGATTTCCTGTTCGAGGCTCTCAATAGAATGCCCCAATAAGCCCCAATACTGATCGATGTTTGAGAGGCTCAGAGGCTATGCTGAGAGAGGCGAATGGCAATGGGTGAATTAAATATTATGAGTGCTTTTATCAAATTCCATGAGCAATCCAGCAATTCTTAATGAGATTTGTAACTGACTAAGAATGAATCGTTGATACCTCAAGGTTTCAAATCCCAAATGCATTTGATGTCATTGGTGTAATTCTAATCGCAATTTCTAACTTATTCAACTTAATTCTGACTCAAAGGGTGAATCGAGCTTGTAAATATTAAAGTTAGTAACCTACTAGTATCTTGTAGATGTCAGAATTTCAAAAACAAGGCGCAATCCCAACAAAGCATATTACACCAAGCCTTACACGATATGTCATTGTCAACCATTCCTTCACTTATTAACCATTCCAGCTGAACGAATTTAAAATACGTAGCCATCTCTAACAAATGTCGCAGGAAGTTGACAAAGTTGGACTCTGCGATAGCGTTAGACCTGTAATAAGTCAATATTGATGAGCCTACCCCATTCCCTCAAAAATATGATTCGAGAAACATCTGATCTTCGTGTCTATAATCCTCATGTTTACACAAATTTGAGTAATTTTGCGATCGAATACCTATCGATGGATAAAATTGGTTGACATTTTGTCAAAAAATGAGTAAAATATTGTAGCTTTCTTCTAACCTCATTTAGAAATAAGGAATATCACATGGGAATAGTATGATAAATTGAAAGTTATTGAACCTCGTCATATTTTTCATTTGCATTAAAGACATGAGTTGACAAGATACTTTCCGTATCCATTGTTGACTGTTGTTAAGTAGAAAGTGATTACTCGAAAAATAATCTGTTACAACATAATTCCAATACACACTATGAAAACATCTCAAAGTATAGTAATACATAATGATGTTTATTTCAATAAACTACTGACAAAACTCTAGAGTAGATATGCATCAAACGATATGGTCCATTTTTAGGTTGATTTAAGGTCGATGATTCAAATAGATGAGGCTGAGAAATAAAGTACTAACCAGTATTGCTAGAATCCATTTTCAATAGTAAGAATAGTGTTTCATAAACATAACATTAGACTTGCTTTATAGAACTTTTTGTTGGCTCTAATATGGTCATACTAAATGAGTTCAACATATTGTATGGACAAGACATTAAAATGCAAAATGTCACCAAAATGTTAATCTGTAACAACTGAATGTTCCCCGATTTACTGGGAACTTGATGAGCGTATTTGCAGATGAAAAGTACTAAAAATGTTCACAGACGACAACATAAAACTACATCTAACATTTTTTGAATAAAGTGGCATACTCGACAAAATAATCTACGAATTCCTAGCCCCTGATATAACAAAATATCACAATGGAAAACTGCGCAGGTTTTAAACTGATGACTTCATTGTGAAGTCGTGCAAAGCTATCTCGATTTTTATTGTGACGGATGGCCCTCTCCAAATCATGGAACATTTATATTCTAGCATAAATCAGGTCTAATTGAGATTTGTTTATTTTCGTTAGTTATGAGGAAAGAAAAATGATACCAGTTATGTTTTCCATCAACAGCAAAATGGATATGTCATGAAAATACTGTAAAATTCACTTAGATTTTGTTCACGTGTCATATTGACGTCATTAGAAGTAAGCCCAAATGAGCCAATTATAATCGTTGATGTTTTACTCGCTCGATAGATTGATGTTCGGCAATAAAAATCTGTCACAAGGTCATAGATCATATGCAAAATGTTTCGATTATCACATTAAAACAATGGTAGATTAGACATTGATATTGCAATCGTATTAGTTAATGTTAGGCTACAACAGGTTAATGACATTCTGATTTCAACTACTCTCCAGGGAAAAACGCACGACTTGATGGTTATATTAGTTCTGGTCAGATAATAATACATTCACTCGAGTAAGCCATTTCAAAAAGGCAACGAGGGATTAGTATGCAGATACTACGAGTACAAAACTTAGATAATCTGAACAGGTCACTTTTTACATCTCCATTACACCCTTGGTATACGCAGCTAACGAAAATTGACCGGTACGGGTCAAAAGCTGGACCGGCACGGGTTAACGGTTTTATTTGAATTTAAAACAGCCATAACTTGCTCAATATTGACTTCCTCGTGTCTAATTTGAAACATATGATGCCTCCCGATGCTATTAAGTACCCCAATTTTTTACAGATTTTTAAACGGACCAAAACTCTCTAAATGCGCAAAGAATTTCATCCTGCTTGCAGCGAGAAGACGGACCGGTTCGGGGCAATCTGCTTGCAACGAGAAGACGGACCGGTTCGGGGCAATAGCTGATAAAATTCTTTGTCACAAAGTTTGGCATTTTTTATAAAATCAAACGCGCGTCATTGAAACTCACAAGATGTAAATAGCATGTCATTTACATCATACCTTGATGGGGAAAAATAGATCTTATATGTTTGAAGTACTAAATAAAAGTTATCGTGAAAATGAGACAGTCGTTCTCGAGAGAAAAGAGCATAAATGCGCATTTAGAGAGTTTTGGTCCGTTTAAAAATCTGTAAAAAATTGGGGTACTTAATAGCATCGGGAGGCATCATATATTTCAAATTAGACACGAGGAAGTCAATATTGAGCAAGTTATGGCTGTTTTAAATTCAAATAAAACCGTTAACCCGTGCCGGTCCAGCTTTTGACCCGTACCGGTCAATTTTCGTTAGCTGCGTATACCAAGGGTGCATTACCTCATTTTTTCTTATTCTGATCTGTAATCCATTTATTAGTCACTGACACAATGACGTGTAGCATTTACCCATTTTGTTAGCGCCATACATCATATGGTCTAGAACTTGTCATTTTTTTATTTCAAAGTTTAACACCCGCCCTATTTCAAAACAAATATGTTTTTTAAAACTATCAGGAATTAGTGGAGATGTCAAATTCCATTAAAAATATCGTCAACATGGTAAACATAAGATATTTCAACTGTGTGGTCTGTGGCAATGGCGTTCTATGAATAGTTCGTCCCATGTTGATTAATAAGAAGATTGGCCTGGTCAGGTGTACAACCTTGAAACCTCACAAGATCGTCACAATGCAATAATCTTATATAAGTATGATACACGTGCGCCAAAATACCATAAATTATGCTACTGAATAGACAATTGAGCACGTACATGATTGAGGGAATTAATGAATAATTAATTAGTTTATGGATTAATTCAGTAGACACGTTTCAAGTTAATTAGCAACATTTGATTTTTTTAATTTTAAAATTTTTCTTGCAGAAATATAGAATTACTCGCCCACTCCCTTAAAGCTACAAAAAGCAACATCGATTACCAGTTACTAACAGTGGGTGTTTGGAGTAGAATCGTGACTTTATCAGGCCCTGTAACTTCATACAAAAACATCCTTCCTTCCTTTTGTCAGCCAAATACAAAGCTATCAGGTAAGTAATTAAAGCAACTTAACGCTAAATGGTAGTCTCTGATGTTTCGATTTTTATTAGCCCGTTATTGTGAAATCCATACGACATGCGATGCAACAATCAGAGCTTATCTGCATAGCATATTTTAGTAAATTGTGATAGATAAAAGGATAATGGCTGATAAATTCTACCAAATAACAATAATGAAGTATTTACCAGAAATAATGTTTACTCTTTTATACCATTCTATTCTTGCCTTCGATTTTATGTTAATCACCCCGTTGAATAATAGATAGAGATTGTAAGAATTAAGATTTCCCTGAAGTATGAAATTCAACATGGAATAGAAATGTATTTGGTTGCATCATTAATAGACTTCGCATACATGACATGTTTACATGGCTGATGAGCCTGTTAAATCAGTCTAATAGTCAGACACATCCTTAGTGATTTTATCATTTATTTATCTCGTTTGCTGATTGAGCCCAAACAAGAGCAGGGGTATTCAATAGTTTTTTGACCAGAGATTACTAGAGGTGCGTTCCATTTCAGTCACATGGATCATCAAATTCTTTGATACCCCCACCCCCGGGGTACCCTTCACTTTTATAACGTGACATTAGCCAGTACTGCAAACATGTAATATCAAACACTATTTTGGGTTGAGTACATGTTCATTTTTCCCTCAGTATATTTCCATTGGCCACCGGGGGAAATGGAGATGAACATGTACACCGTTAATAGAATGGAATATTTGTTTTATTATGGCCTATTGTTGTCTGCCATGTTGATACACTGCACGAAACACGTAGTCGTAGAAAACGCGGAATACCCGGGACTTTTTCTTGTGTTATTCCGTGGTATATCATGATATGCAATTGAAAATGAGACTGCAGATGGAGACTGTAGGTGACAGGGGCACAAATCAACAGCATTCATTATGTGATAATATATCCAACAATGATGTAAGGAGTTAGTGCGACATTTATCACATGTGATAGATAGAACAGCCCGACCTAACATACATGGCCATCCCATGACATCGTGGATGACATGATCGTGATGCCATGGCCTCCATAACGTATTAATATAGGATACAAATCATGCACTGATTTTAACATTTTATCATCAAGTTACATTAACAAGAATTAGTTTTATTTGAGTTAGAATAATATAGTAGCTAAGCTTCTCTAGCAAATATTCCAAAATACAAGTTCTTATTTGATTTGATCTTACGCGACGACTATAACTATTTTTATAATAAAGCTGAACTCGGTCTCCAATGAGAAAAGATAATATGATGCAATGTGCTACATGACAATTCTTGTAGAAGCAATGTTTGCAGTGATATAATGTAAATCATAAGCCATGTTCCACTCATGATCAATCATTGTTCTAGCGACGCAAACTGAGGGTGTAAATGTTATTGATAGTCCAAGTATTATTGGAATTCTACTTGGATGGACATAAGGAGATACTGATGGGATAATACAATGATAACAAAATAACACTTTTAATACTTTCGACGTGGTTATAGGTGCATCTGTTAAAATTAATATGTTCCATACAAATCTGTAAAAACAGCTTTCCCCGTTCATCCGTTTCCATTTAATATTGTAAGTAGCATACAATTATAGTTTGTGTCACGCTAGATATCTATTTCATTAATATACATTTCGGTTTGATATTATGATGTATCGATCAGATATAGAAAGCATAATCTTCATAACTTGTATTGTAATATTCTCCCTCTACCATGAGTACCACGAGGGTTGATATTAAAGTGGCATCGTTGTTATATTTAGGTACATACTGTTAAGCCATTCTTTGTTCAAGTACACAAAAATCAGATCGCAAAATTATTAAAACACAAATCAATGTCTATTGATCCAATAATTTTAATTACTTACGTTGGAAGGGTATTCTGGAACTGTTAAAACTTTTACTAAAAGTACTATTAAAAGAGCAACTCTTCTTTAAAATAAATAGATTGAAAAAATTAATCTAGTTACCCCCCCCCCCTCTACATGAGTTAATACCTTCTCACACTTGAAGGGGGGGGGGGGGTATATCCAGAACTTGGGCAATATCAAAACAATAAAAAAATCATCAATCAAGACCATGAAACTGTGTCAAAACATTTCAAAAAGACCATGAATATGTGTGTCAAAAAAATGAAAAAAATGAAAAAATGAATTCCATAAACACAATAAACTTGTGTGTCAAAAAAAATTTAAAAAAAAGAATTTAACCCTAACCTTACCCCTAACTCTATTAAACCAGATGGGGTTTTAAATGATTACCTAACCATGACCTACCCGCTGAGGACACAGGACATGTACCAGACCCTAATGAGTACATTTTTTACACACAAGTTTATTGTTTTTATGATATTTATTTTTTTCATTTTTTGATAGACAAGTTTATTGTATTTATGATATTCTTTTGATTTTTTTGATTTTTTGACCCACAAGTTTATTGTATCTATAGAATTCATTTCGATTTTTTGAAACACATATTCATGATCTTAGGGTTAGGGTTAAATTCATTTTCTGATATTTTTGATTTTTTGATATTTTTGATTTTATCCAAGTTCTGGATATACATGAAGGGGGAGGGGGTCACAAGGGCTTGTAGCTGGACTAATCACAAATAAAAAAATCATGATTTAACATTCAACAAAATCGTGGATTTACTTCAAATCTACCGATTTTCTAAAAATAGTATTCATCCAAACGCAAATTCTGACATAACTGATGTTATATGCAATGTCAATATCAAATACACTACTGGTCATGAATATGGAAATAATTTACGTATGCTCACGATCCTCAAGTACCCTCTCTATATGGCATATTACATACACTATGTTTGACACATTTGAGGTGAACCTTTTACCTTTATTTTAATCTATATTCTGGGCCTAAATATCGAAGTAGACTAAAATATTAAGTAAGGGTTTTGGTAAGTTCTCTAATACTGCACGTACTGTATGTGTAACCATTTGGTATTATTTTGTCATGTAAAAGCCTATGTTGTTGTTACTTGAACTGTCGAGCGTCATTTACCTGCTATTTGCACTGAGGGATTACATTCACACACGTAATTGGTAAAATTTCTGTCACGTCCGCCCCCCAAATGTCTACCCCATTCATACAGTAACATCTGACAATCATTCGATAAGTTGGACCTTGTATTCTAAAACATGCTTAGTAAAAATCTTTATTTAGAAAAAATAGTGTCTTGTTATTTCAGAAAGCAACCGATAATGCTGTCTCTAAAGGTCCAACGACATTTAACTCCTTCCAACCCTTTAAATTCTAAGAGCAGAATTAAAGTCAATGTCAGATTAGTTCTTCAAGTGCGAGATGGGCTATTTCTAATATTTTTAATGGCGTAACTTTGTTCCGAAAGGTCGATTCGTTTTGAGAGCTATATAAACCCAAGGTATAACTGAGCTATACGAAATCTAATTAGATTTACCTCGGAAGAATGAATGTAATACAAATGTAACAAGATATGTATCTACGCTCATATGTATCTTATTCCTTCTTTTGCAAACGGAGACCCGGGAATTCTAATAAAACACATATTTAAGGACGGTTTGCACTATTACGGTCCATCACTGTGGTAGATTTCAAAACTTTCGATATCATTTTATTATGTTACCACCAAAAGTGGTGACATATTGTTAATAGCCTGTGTCAGTGTGTGGTCTCCATTTTTGTGACGGTAGTTGCGGTTGGCGTCCGGCATCTGTAACAAATTCCAAAAACTTCAACAACTCAACAAATACTGTTTAGACTGATTTCAATTTTTCAAAATCATCTACAAGTTCTCACAGAAGTTCAAATCTGACTTTAGATTTAAGATTTGGCCTTCAATGACCTTCTCAAGGTACTAAAAAGGCAAAATAAGTATTTTCATTGTGCTTCAAATTGATCAATTTATTTTTCAAAATAATCTTCAAGTTCTCAGAAGTTCAAATCAAAGATTGAACTGATAATATTGTGAGCAACTAGGTGGTGACATTTTGTCATGTTAATGCCAAGGCATTGAATTGCTTTTATTTGTGGATTGCAAGAGTTCTGGCATGTACCTTAGGATGAAGCCGGCATATCAGATCAAAAAGCTCAATAAATGTGAGAGGTCAATCCAGAATTGACAGAAATAAACCTCACATCTATCATATAAGAGCTAAATTGTACAGGATAAAGTACATTCTTCAAATACGGCTGCTAAATCATCAATGATAGCGCATCTACCCGAGAGGAAGTCACGTATATTGTATTTTATTTTATATCTATAACCTCATCTAGAGAATACAAGACTGGAGCGCACCTTGAAACTGCATCATAAGTGCAGTAATGCATTTCGAAACTCATTGCATATTTCCCTTATTGCCGGCACGTATGTCGTCGAACGCCATTCGGTTATTACATCGAGAACATGTTCCAGAGTTTTTGAACTTATTCTGATCAATATCGTTCTGGTACTTTCCATTCCAATCAATTCAACAACAAAAAATTAAATGTAACTTGTGACTGATTTATTTAAAGAAACATGAAACAACTATTGCAGAAAAAGTAAACGAGAATGTCATATATATTTCTTAGAAGCTGACCAAAAGTCTGAAATTTTCTCAAAATAAACGTCCATGGTGGTTATGACTTCAAAAATGAATATAAGACAATTTTGCCATTAGGTAGATCTTCGTTCCAATACCCTGTGGCGATATCTACAGTTTGGATGTACTATTGGCTTACTTAGAGGCAACAAGGGAAATCAGACGTTCGCTTTCCTTGAAATTGGTTTTTAGGATCAAAGTAAAACAACACAACTTGGTGTTATGTTTCTTTTTGCATGAACACTTCTTTGAATCATTGATGTCAACTAAGAGCAATGTCGCCGAGATTCATTTCCCTTTCAGAAGCTATTACTGTCAATAACTAAATAAACTCAGTGTGTAAAACCGTACATGAAGTAAGGCTTCGGGATCGTCAAACAATTCATCTAAGTTA